ATTTGAGGATTGCAGCTGATTAGTATCTCACTATTTTTTAATTATGCATAGTTTAAAAATACTTTATTTTATGTGCATTGAGTTTTTGGATAATCAAAATGTGTTTAAATTTGTTAAAATTATTGCATACCTTAAGAATGCTTTATTTAATGTAAGTGAAGTCTTGAGTTTTATTTAAACATGTTCATGTTAAAAGGGCCCAAGACATTTCTGTTTTGCGTGCCATTAAGACGGCTCTGCTTTCCAGGCGTCGCGAATCATGCAGCTCTAGTGCGACGTAAATATATTAAAATTACAACAGTTCAACATTTGAGCCTTAAAAAATAATTATCATATCTAATAAAAAATTCAATACAAGCTCTAAATAAAAATGTATTCGAATAGTAATTTACAAACGAAAATCTTAAAAGATTAAATATGTAGTGTTGTCATTCTCAGGGAAGGATTGCTATGAAGTCTTTTTCTTCTTAATACAGCCAGATGGTGTTCCTTTTAAATTTGTATGTATTTGCCTGCTTTCTGTTAATAAACCTTTACTTTCTGTCTGAATCTTGACGTCCATGGACTACATGTAGCTAGACTGTGAAACCGATGCTCATAATACAAATAGCATTGTTATATTAAGGTCATATACAGCAGTGTTCCCCAACCTTTTTATCACCGCGGACCTGTCAACGTTTGATAATTTTACCGCGGTCCGCTGGGGGGGGGGCGTTGATTGTTTATATTTTAAATTATTTTGATTTATTAATTTTAATTTAATTGTATTTAAACATGCCTTCAAAATGAAATACAGTTATCCCAAAAAATAAATATAAAGTGATTTAACATTTTAACTTACTAGAACAGTGTTTCCCAAAGTGTGGTACGCGTACCCCCAGGGTTACGCGAACAGTTTAGCGGGGGTACGGGTTCTTATGCGAAATATCCTTCAACAAACGAAAATTTCAAAGAATTTTATTTAAAAACAAAGCTGGCCATGAAAATTTACGATTACGTATTTTTCTATTGGCTATTTTTTGCAGAGTAAACAGTTAATAATTAGTAGTGTCAACAGCCAGTTGTGATTTTCAACTTTTGTGCAATTTTTTTATAGTAAAAGTTTGTAATAAATTCTACTTATTTTGATTATTTTTCTAAAACATAATTTTTATCCTTCTTGAAAAATAAACATGAGAAGTGTACTTTAACATCATTCTGGCTGCAAATGTAAAATATGTATCCAGTTTTAACAGAAAAAGTTGTGAAATATATTTCGCCTTTTCCAACTTCATATTTATGTGAAGTCGCTTTTTCAGCTTTCGTGGACATTAATTCGAAAAAAAAAGAAATAGATTATTGTACGTGGAATCGCATCTCAGACTAAAATTGACCACAAGAGAACCGAATTATAATGAANCAAAATATGTATCCAGTTTTAACAGAAAAAGTTGTGAAATATATTTCGCCTTTTCCAACTTCATATTTATGTGAAGTCGCTTTTTCAGCTTTCGTGGACATTAATTCGAAAAAAAAAGAAATAGATTATTGTACGTGGAATCGCATCTCAGACTAAAATTGACCACAAGAGAACCGAATTATAATGAACTGTTATCACAGCAAAAAAAATATCATTCTTCTCACTGATCTAAATAAATTTATTAACAAAACTTTCTACCAAAAAATAAAAATAAACATATTTTTAAAAAAATACATTACTTTTTTATTAGTGGTACACAGCATTACCAAACATTTTGAAGGGGTACACAAAAGTCATAAGTTTGGAAAACACTGTACTAGAAGGATAAATCAATTAGTCACGATCGAGAGAGAAGACGAACTTCTTAGAGTTCCAAAGTAAATTTTGAGACTCTCGTGTTTCATTTATAATATTTACAGTTATGATAATTGATTTTTTTTAATTAAAACTAATTGAAAGAGAAAATAGTTGCTGTGGTTTTTTTTGTAAATAATTATTTAAAAATAATTTTTTTATTTAAATAAAATTTTAATGGAACACAAATATTTTTAATTTGGGGTATAAACCTAGGAATTTAAATTCAGTTTCCATGAAATGGGCGGTCCAGTATCATTTCATCCACTTACCGGGGGTTGGGGAACACTGATATACAGTAAACTCTAAATATCACGAAAATGTTGTCATGTCAAAAAAAATATTTCCCCCCTTTGCATATATATATATCTCCAGCTAATATTAATTTGAAATCCTATTCGAAGAATTTCTTCTCAAAATCTTGTCATGGGGATTTTTTTTCGAATAGAAAGTGAATTTTTTTGGAAAAATCATGAAGTAAATTTATTGTAAGCCCATTCTTTTTTTATTTAATACCTAATTATTTTTCTCTTTCTTTTAAAAATAAAATGACCATTGTTGTATTTAGAATTATAGTCAACTATCATTGCACACATATTTAATCGTAGTTATTCTTATGTATCATGACACTACTTTTTAGAGAAATTTTTTAGGACACATTTTTCTACTTTTTCGAACTGCTCCGAGCTTGTTATTTAAAAAAAAATTGCTATCTCGAAAATTTCTTTGCGTCCATTCTACTTAGAGATTCCGAGAGTATACTGGCCTATTACTTCTCCAAATGAGGGGGAAAAAACATCCGGGAAGATAAAATGTGTTAACGCAGTAGACCTTCTTGATCAAAATTTAAAATCTAACTCTTATCGTCGTTTATTTTTTAGGTCAAGGTCAACAGACAGTTTCGCTTTCTAATATTCCATCCAATGACATCCATGGTTTCCGAATACGTGGGTCATCTCTCTGTTACTTTCGTAACTGGTGAATAGTTAGAATTTCTTTGCTAACCATTGAATTACGTTTCAGTTGTAAAAGCTTTTGATTAAAAAAAATCATTAACGATTTAATCGCTAGTCTGACGCAGGCAAATTTCATAGAAGTCACTGGTAAGTCTCTTCTCTAAAAGTAATTTTAATATAGTAATTATCCATTTGGATTTTATTACTCTACTCTTCTACACAAATCAGACATCGGCGTCCTAATCAAAGGCGTCGTGTGTCCCTCAATAATTTTTCTTACAAATTATAACTTTAAAAGAACACCAAAAAAACATTTTTTATTTAATAAAAAATTAATAACTTTCGATATTTCATTTATAATTTAACGAAATAATTCCATATTTATCATTTTTTACGTAAGTGGTATAGTAAAAGCCATTTAATAAATTTCTTAAAATTGTTTCGGTCATACTCAACGATTTTGATGTATTAATATGGACAAGTGTTGATATAGTTTATAAATGTGGTTATTAGTTATTTATTTTGATTTATGCACAATATAATGTTTTTTAATTACAATTGTTTTCTATTAACATTGTGCAATAATTTTCAAAGACCTGTAACTGCCAAAAGATTTTGAAATCGTTTAAACTTATTTTTGTTTACTTTGAATTTTTATTCGGATTTGTTTTTTTTTTAAGTATAAATTTCTAGGTAAAATGTGATAATGTGCTATGTTTATGTGATAATGTGTTATGTTTATAAAATGTGTTATGTTTATTATTATTATAAGTTTTAACCAATAAGTTCCTTTTCTTTCGAAACATCCCTTTTACACTACTGACTAATTTTAATACCAGTTTTCGGCATGTTTCAATAGAATGCGTTCTATACTTCATTTATTTGATTATTACGTAACTTTTTGAAACCCTGACTACCTGAAACTACTGACTACCTGAAACTACCTGACTTGAAATACTGGATTTCACTAAATGCTTAAAAATATTCAAAAATGGCACATTATTACGCAGAGTAAAAATTTAATTCTTTAAGATTTTAAGGAAATTTCATAACCAGGAATTACACTGTTAAATAATTAAAGTACTTTATGATGGATTTGATTTTCCCATAATTTTCCTGGTAATAATTTAAAACGTATTAAATCTGTAAAAACTTATTCGTGTTTTAGGCACTGTGGGTAAAGTGATCATATTTCTAATTATAGAAATATGATCCATAATTAGAAATATATTTCTATAATTTCTATATATTGCCTAGACTTATTTTGTTCATGCTACTCTTTTACTAAAAATATTTTGTCACAGTATATATTTTAATCAATTTTCTTACATTTACTTAAGTAAATGTTTGTATAAATTAAAAAAAACATAGGTTGTGAAAAGTTAAAAAAATCAAACTTTTAACAAAACTTTTTAAATAATTAATTCTTTATAAACACACTTAAAAACTAAGAAATATTGAACTATTATGTTTTCATTCCTTGATATAGAATTGTGGAATGCTCAAAAAAATTTATTAATAAGTAAATAAAAATAAATAAATAAATAAAAACAAAAGTTATCAAATAAATAAATGAGTAATAATAATGGACTATGCTGAATAACCTTTTATTTAATGATCTTTCTAGAATTCAATCTTAATTGTTTGAGAAGTGACCACAAACGCGCTAATAAGTGCAGACAATACTTAGAATTATGAAATAAGATACAAAAATACACTTTTTCTGAACAAACGTACTTTTTTTTAGATGAATTTAAATTTCTGACTCCGAAAATATAGGGGAATTTGCATAAATTTGCATATTTCACCATATCGCAAGAACTTCTTGAGCGAATTGAAAAAATTTTGAACACAATAAAAAATTCGTTTATCCAAGAATAATTCCAAGCAAAAAAAAACTTTTAGTAATCATTAATTGTTTTTTATTACTTTAGTTAATTATTGCCAAACATTTCTTACACCATTTCAAAATATGTAAGTTTATAAGAAAAATAAAAACAAATTGAAGATATCGTTCAAATAGTTCCAGAGAAATGGAATTTTAAAAAAACTTTTTAAAAATTTCTTTCTCGGGATCTATTTGTCCGATTTTGCCCAAATGCTTTGTTTTTCTATGTAAAATTATATTCTTTAAAATGACAAGGCAAAAAATACTTTTAAAAGGGAAAAAAATTTATTTTACAATTCAAATTTTTTCGACTATTACTAAATAAAACAAAATAGAAAATATTCAATAAAAATTATTTTATGTATAAAATTATCTTTGGATAAACGAATTTAATAGTTGTGTAAAAAAAATTTTAAATTCACTTAAAAAAATTTCAAGACATAACGAAAGCACAGACAGTAATAGTAAGATTAAGGGGTCCAAACCTTGGATCTCTGTTTAGACTTAATTATTGGGATCAAATTTCGCAGATTGCCGCTGCCTTCCCTATTCTGCCGGTAAGAAATCCAAATCTATCAAAAAATCAAAGGCATGTTTATCCGCAGAAAGTAAGTTTATGTGTCAGATTTCGTAATTAACAATATCACCTGCACTGATTAGTTAGTATCAGGGTTGGGTTTTTGACATGACAGTGGTAAAAACCGTGTTTTTACCGGAAAAAACCGTCAAAAACCTACTGTTTTCTTTAATTTATGTCATATAGCAGACAATATATTATTTTCATTTAATTACCTTTATAAATTAATGAGAATATAAATGAATACAGAAATATTGTAATATACTTATTGAAAATAGTGATACTAAACTTCTATCATTATAGCTTGATTTGCAAAGGATTCAAAATTTTGCACTTCTTAATTGTTAGAAATAAACAAACAAACAAAAAAACTTGGAACTATTAATAAATTCATGAACTAAAAAGAAGAATTTAAAATTTGGCATTTCTTAAATATTAGAAATAAGCTAAACAAATCTTTCAAAACTTGTAACTACTAACAAACTCTAAGTCAGGAATGACTTGACATTGTTCAGTAATGTAATATACCAAACAAAATTATGCTTGGAAATGTTGAAAATTTTATTTAGTATCCTAATATTTTACTTCAAATAGTATGATTTGATATAATCATGTTGAGAAAATTCAAAAATCTGTTCTTAAATATCTTTTAGCAACTTTTTTTCTAATTTTATTGCCCGAAAATGAATTAATTTTAAATCATAAGCAGTTAAACTCAAATTAAAATACAGTTTTACCAAAACTGGGTTTTTGACAGTTTTTGACGTTTTTGACAGAGGGGTTTTTGACATGACGGTAAAAACCATGGTATAAACCGGTAAAGACCGTCATGTGTCAAAAACTTGCCAACCCTGGTTAGTATGATATAAAGTTGAAAGGCAAGGAATTAAATTTAAATAAAATATAATTAAGAAACGAGAAGCTATTTAAAAAACAAAAAACATTTTAATAAACAATGATAAGCAGCGACAAATATTTTAATATAATATTTATTGCTGATTATTACTGATGCTGATATTTTAATATAATATATAATATTGTGTAATGTAAATATTTTGCCCTAAAAATTCGCTTGATTTCAAGCAGATTTGGCTGGTATTGGCAAGTGGCATAAGTAGCAACAACAGCATACATAAAACCATTTCAACTTATTATTTAGACTTATTAACTCGTGCTTAGTCTTATTCAATTCAACGTTATAAAAAATCATAGGAAACAATACCTCATTCGATAACATTGGATAAACATTTTGTATTCCTATATAGGTACAAAAAAAAACTTTTTTTATTAAAAAATTTTATCACTTGTTCGTCTCAGTATCGGTCTCACTCGATTCAATGTAAAAAAATATTTTGAAATCCCTCTTTTGCTTAAATAGTAGTATGTGAATGTCCTCTCTAATAAAAAAAAACTCAGCTGGATGAAGACGTGCAACGCTAGGGTACTTTACAGTTTGTATATAGATTTGAGCTTCTTTATTTTTTTTCTATTAGATGCCTGAATTTTAACTAAACTTATGAGATTTAACAAAGTAACAAAAACTAGCAACCTTACAGCAAATTTATTCAAATTCACTAAAATCATTCTTCTAACCAGCTCTTCATTTCACATTATTAATTGAAAGAATATTTTATGAATTTATATTAAATAAAATGAGGATGCATTTTTATTCAGTGAAAAGCACAATGGGCCAGCATCCAAGGTTTTGGGGCCAAAATTAGTATTGCGATAAAATTTGTTTCAAAATTTGTATTTAGGGGTTTTTCTGTGTAGGTAATTTGAATTCACTTTTGAAATACACCAAAAATACTCAAAAAACAAAATGGCGGCTTAAATATGGCGAGCAAAAATAAAAAAAATAATATAGTACGTTTAAATAATTAAATATAGCAATGAAAATATAATAATTTTCGTAATTTTATGTTAAAAATGAAAAGCATTATATATTTCCGAAGTTATATTACAAAATAACGCGAATTAGTTTCAAAATAACGCAAAAACATGAAGAAAAAAACATAATTTTTGTTTTTTGGTATATTTAGTCCACCTTTTCAATACGGGCAAAATGGGGCAGGTTTTTTCGAAAGAAGAAACATCAAAGAAGACAACAAAAAAAAAGTTTAGCTAATTACCTCGTGGAACTTTTTGGAACTAATTTTCCTAAGTCATTCAAACATTCTAAAATGTCAAATGATGAGATATAAACTATAAGTTTGTCAAAAGTAGTAACTAATCCAGCAAATTGAAAAATTGTACTATAATTTAACACTAATTACTCTGATAAAAATGTAACAGTAAGGTGAAATTCCTATATATATTTCTGAAATAAAAATTTAAAATGTTACATTTAAAGCAATTTTTTAACACATTTTTCATTAAATTGTACTCTCGTCGGTTCAAACAGTAAATTATAATGTCTGGAATGATTATAAATACTTAATTTGGGATATATTAAAACTGCCTACACATATTTTAGTTGAAAAATAAATTTTTTACTTTTGGCCAAAGATCATTGTCTTCTGGCCCACAGTGAAAAGCAATGAATAATTATTTTAATTGATATTTTTAGAGCTAAAGTGTTCCTTCCTCATAAACCATGAGCAACCAAGAGGCAACTCAACCACAAAATTCTTCATTAAGTGGTGGATCAGAAGACAACCAAGCCGGTATTAGAATATTCCTGTGGAAACTATTCTGTATACTACTACAACAAGAGTCTGATTTACCAAAAGAAGTGGACCTAAATTCTTAAATTCGAAGAGACTGACTTTAATAATAATAATTCATGTTTAGGAAATGTAGTTAACTAAAATTTTAAGTTAAACCTCGCGTGATTTACAAATTTGAAAATAGAATTTTTCTTTTTAGAAAGCTCGCTTCGATTTATTTATTTATTTGTTACGCTTACAACTTTTGAAACTCGTAAATCAGACTCTGGGTGTAACAGTTCTGATAATAAAAAAAATATTTANTATATATATATATTCTTAATTTGCTTAAAACTACTTTTATTAGGTGATGTAACTGAAAATATCTCTAGTGGAATACAGAATATGAATACACAAGATAGCCCGATTCGAAAACTTGAAGATCTATTACAGAATCTACCTGTTAATTCGGTTGCATTATTCGAACAGTTGGATCAGAGATTAAGAGATGACAATGAGTTACGAGAAGATTTGGTATGTATAATTAGTAAAATTTCTCTCTTTCCAGAGAGCAATTTACATAGGGCTGTAACGAATATTCGGTATTCAGTCAATTGGTCTCCTTTGCCGAATATTCGGTTGGCTGAATGTTTGGCCAAATATGCGGCCAAATGTTCGCCAATTATTTTGTGGAAAAGTATTTATTGAAGAAAAAAAAAATTTTTCTGATTTTTAATTGTTTAAATAATCCAAAATAGTATTTTAACATTACATTATCTAATATAGTTTTTACATGTATTTGTTAAGCTTTAAAACTAATGTGCTTACAATTTATGCTCTGGATGACAAATGGAAAACGTAATTTCAAGAATTGAAGCTAGATTATTTTAAACTTAATCACGTGTCGTTGTTTTATCAACACTTTTGCTTTAAGAAATGAGAATGTTTTTTTAATGTTGTTTTTTATATTTTATTATAGAAAGAAATTATTTAAAGAAACATTTTATAATAGATTTTGTTATTTTACTGTCACTTCTTTCTTGTACGGTAAGACAAGAAAACCGGTTAAAAAAAGCTGTGATTTTCAACATTAAAGTTATATTTTAAGAAATAAGAAAGTTTTTTTGTTTCTCTTTTGCCTTTTTTTAGTAACTTTTCTTTTTATTAGCGTTTTCATTATGACTCAGAATTTATTAAAAACCTTTCCATTGAACGTTATTCTTTTATCGTCAATTTCTTAAGATTTTTTTCATTTTTTTCTTATGTAAAAATCTTAAATTGAGAGTTTTAGGCGTAGATTTTTTTTTTTTGCAAAAATTAAGCACGAAAATTTTGGTTTCTATCTAACTTTTCTATTTCTTAAAAGGCGTTTTTATTATGACACCACAATTAAAAGGGTTTATATTCAGCTTAATTCTTTTTTTTCTTCACTTTTTCTCTAAAATACAATATAATTGGAAAGCTAGGATGTTCAATTTCAAAATTTTCTTTCAAAAATTTAAATCGATTTTTTGTTTTTGTTTCGCATTTGTATATAATATTTTGCTTTTGTGTAAATTTTTATGATAGAGCGGAAATTTTAGAGGTGTTTCTGATAGATTATAATTCTTTTAATGTTTTATGTACATTTTTTTCGGAAAATATTGTTTTCAACTTTAAAGTTTCGACATAAGAGTAAAAAATTTTTTGCTATTTCTTTATTTCGTTTTGATGTCAACTTTAAAACGTAATTTTTTTTTCATAGCTGTTAGTGTTTTATTTACCTTAATTATTTCAAACAGACAACTATTATATTTTGTGCAACCATACAAAACTATTAACCATTCATCATTCACCATTCTTCACTCACCATTTACCATTCTTGGAACGTCGAAAGCATTCCCTGCATGATTTATCAGTTGGAGCATTCTCACCATAAATTTCTACAAGCATTCAATGCGCTTCAGCTGCACTTTTCTTCCAATTAAAGCGGAAACATAAAACCACTCTGGTGCTTTGTTACCACAAAATTTGGCATATTCAACAAAGTAAAAAACTAGGTTTTTGTATGAAACTCAAAGCGATATAAACTGAATATTATTGATAGATGTTAAACCTCTCTGAAACCACCGAAACCAGCTGTCACTATATAACATTCATAACTGCAGAGCCATCTTTTAAAAACGGACCGAACTAATTTGAAGTTTCACAATAAAATGGTTGTTAATGGAGGTTTGTCGTTCTTAGGGGTTACCTTAATTGACTTCAAAGAGTTATCGAAGGTAAATTAATTTTATCTGGCATTTTTAATTTTACTTGTCATTTTCTTCGTGCGGACCTCTTGTGTTGGCTTCATAGAAACCGGATCAATTAATAAAATTTAAAGTCAATAAAAATTACCTTAACTGATATAATTATGTGTCGAAAATGAATTCTCCAATCATGAATGATAGAACTATTTTAAATAAATGAACAATTATGATTTTTGTTTAAGTTTTGAATTTTAATTTTATATCAAAATAATTAGTTAGCTTTAAAAAAATAAGAAGAGGTTTCGTTTGTTTGAGATGATTAGTTTTTTCTCAAATATTTTTTTTTTCTGATTTAACTTTCAACTCTAAAGTGAATCATTGATAGCATCGTCTTTAGTACTTTCTGACAGTAACATGACGTTGTGTATATATTTCAGAGATTGTCACAAAGAGCTCTTTTTAGCCACTAATATTTATTTTGATACACTTAAATCCACCTATTTATTTTGCTAATACTTTTTGTTTTTATATTTCTTCGTGCTTCCCTGGAACCCCTGGTGCTCTTCGAGAGTACTTACAGCAAGTACTAAACAACAACTAACTACTAAGCAACTTACTATTAAACAACGCGCTTGCAGTAATTCAATTCCTAGTTCCCTCCTTATATATGGACTGCTCCATATTTTTTGTTGTTAAAGAAAAAATAACATCCGGGTTGGCATTTTTTTTTCTTTGTTATAGATGCGACAGAGAAAAATTAGTTCCAATTTTAGAATTTCGATTGCTAAAATAAAATATTAACTCTTTCAAATACAGTATGCATTTAAAAGCGTTTTGACGTTTTGAGTTTGCCCTACCTATTATCAATTTTTCTTTTACATTATTATATTCATTATTTTTTAAAATAGCCGGGATAATTATTTTGCATGACTACGAATTTTTCACAGTTAAGAATAGAACTAAATGCCAATCTAGGAAGTACCGGGTACCAGTAAAAAGAACATCTGGCAATGATAATTTACTTTAAAAAAAATTAAAATAAAATATTGCAGAGAATACCATAGACGAACATACCAAACAGTATTCCTTAAACTAAAAACAAAAACATCAATGTAATGAATTCTGGGTAAGTTTACACTGGGAAAATGGCTCTTTAATTTGAAGGGGGGAAAACATAAATGGCTCAAATATGATGTATTTCTTAGTTTTCTAACACTGCAAGGAAAAGGTGACAATCCATTTTCCTTTGGAAAACATGTTGGAAATGCTGTAAGCGTTGCTTGGTTGTTGTTTTGCTACCTTGACACTTAGGCAATCCCAGCTTTAGAAAATCGGAAGTGCTTACCAATAGTTTCATTTCCAAACAAAAATTGCTATTTTGTCGAATTTTTTTAAATTTAATCTGTAGGAAGGGCTGCATTAAATTTATTTTTCTTTTCTTTCAGGAGCTCTTTTTATTTCTCTTTTTTAAAGAGGCAAAAACCGTCTACTCCTTTTTGAGACGTACTACCAGTAAACTAATTGCTAAAGAAGTTGCTGTGCAGTTTACCAGAACGGATCCACCTACGGGCAAAAAATCTTTCGAGAGGGAAGTGCCAACAACTTATAAAATGATTATAGGTAATTTCAAATATGTTAACACACTATCTCAGGTTGATAATATGATAATACGAGGATGGATCATGATTTCACGATAATGATTTCACGTAAGAATTATGAACGAAATCAACCTAAAAATTAACACTTAAATGATTAAACGATGAAAGTAGTAGGGTTTTAGGGCTTCTGCGCC